TTTTATATTTTTAGTCATACAAATCCTGATTTCTTTCGTCCTTTCCCAAAAGTTCTTAGTAAATTAAATTCGTAGAACATTTTTCACACAAACATTTCCAGGCTTTGATATCTTTATTCCAACACAGTTTATTCAAATTAAGTTTTTCCAATCAACGACCAATCTCAACACACAATCCTTGCATATTTTCGCTTTAAAATACTTTAAACACTCCTTTCTACTCTAAACTTCTTTTGACTCAATTGCAAACACATACATTTCACCAGCACCGCCGTCAGGCAAATCACTAAAAATAGTATGGACCACAGATGCTGCCTCATCTTTGCACGTCGCACAAAACAGATCGAACTTAAAACCAAAACTAAGCTCAGCAAACCGAGTGACCACACTTAAATAAACTCGCATTGATTAAGTTACAAGAAAGAACAACAACAAAACTTAATAAAAATAGTTTGCATACTTGTTTAATCATCTCAATACATACATACATATACATATATAAATATTTTTATAACATCTCGCTAGCATCTTCTTCTAACTGTTGAGCTAACGCTTCTTTGTGCTAACTGTCTCTTGAAAAAACCGCAACATTTCAAGCTCATTAATTATTCATATGAAAAAAATAAAACTGCTTTGCTCTAACTCATAAATTATGTGTATTTGTTTATATGTATGTAAGTGTCTTCCTTAAGCGTCTCTTATTCATAGTTTTAGTTTCTCCAAAGTGCGCCAATCGCTTAAGCTTTCTTCAAGTCGACAAGCTGGCGCATTTTGGGTCAACAAATTGACCGATGATTGATAGTCAAATTCATCCCGATTGTACGGTAACTCATAACTTAAAGTTGTGCAACAAAAACAAATGCGCAGAACAAGATATTTTATAAAAATAAATTTACAAAAATAAATTTGGTAGCTTAAGAAGTTAAAAAGACGCTTAAGAAGGAAGCAGCGTTTTGAGCGGAATTTTCACTATCGATCAAGATTATGACTAATGGTTGATTAGTTACACTTCTGACAACAAAATTATATATATATACATATATATTTATATGTATAAAAACCACGGGCCAATCTCTAGCTCACCCAGCTTTCGCTGATTATTTTATGCAAAGCGCTTTCGTGCTGGTTTTTATTGCGAATATTAACATATCTTGAAGGGAGATATCGGATTTTCTAATGAAATAGAAATTATTCGCATAAGATATCGATTTATGTAAATATGTATGTATGTATGTATTTTGTAACAGCTCATATTTTAAGCTCAACTATTTGCAAAGCATTTCTGTGCTTTAGAGATAACCTAAAAACAATTATATTTATGACTCTGAGATGATTTCTTGAATTCCATTGAGGAAGTAACGGCACCAGAGTCAATGAACGCGACTTTATCTGGGCTAGAAGCTTCTTTAAAATTCATCATTAAAAACCCCAGCATGCCTGTTCGGATATATGAAAGCGATTATATAAATAATATATGTAGACAATTACGTTTATACCCGAGACAGACATGTAGTAACAACACCATAGTAAAGGTATTATGGTATTCTATTTACTACGTTGGTGACACACATGGCAATGTACCAAACTCAAATACTAGCTTCGTTTCATAGGCATTAAATATTTCAGAAAAATACAATGAAGAGCTCGTCTGGTTATAATAAAGCTTTCCTAATACTAAAAAGGCTTACCTCAATGAAATGGCTGAAAGCTCACTTAGTTGGATGAAAGCTCGACTAGTCTTACCCGAGTGAATGAAAGCTCAGCTAAGTGGATGAAAGTTCAGCTAGTTAAATGAAAGCTCGTTTGCCTAGCTAAATGAACATATGTATAGATGAATGAAAGCACGTGTATTTGGATGGCAGTTCACCAAGCTAGATGAAAACTAATCTATGTATCTGGATGCAAAGTCGTCGTCAAAAAAGTCCAAATAAAAGTTTTTTTCTATAAGAAGTGTGATCTCACAATCTGTATGAATTAATTAATCTAATTAATTTAACACATCCTTAGCTAAATGAAATATCTCCTATCTCAGAACGTGCTTCAAGAAAATATTTTCGAAATTGAATTAAACCAACAAGCAGCTCTTCAAGATTAGAAAATGTGTTTTCAAGAGGAAATAATAAGATTTCGTTCAAGTGATCGCCCTACTAGGTAAATTGTATCGGACTTATCAGCGCCGACCAGAATGGCTTCATTTTTGAAAAAACAAAAAAAAAATGAACAAATGATTCCTTATGCCCACGGAGCACATCAAACAGTTGAAACGACGTCTATACAATGGCTTGTGGATTATCATCACTCCACGTATCCATTCAACCGGAAGTAAGGTTTATCGCTGAACAACATTTTCTTGTGAAAATCGGTTGGTGATCTCGTTATGATATATTAACCGAACGTGCGACTCGCTTGATAGTCGTTAAGCTTTAATCTTTATACGAGTTGGATTTTATACGCCCGCAAACCAAGATTAATCCGCAAATCTTTCATAAAGCGGATGAGCACTGCTCCGAATGTTGCGTACAAGCGTGAATGTGATGCGCAACCGTTCCATGGTGGTACAAATTACCGACTCTGCTGAGAGCGTGCGATGCATGGAGCAAACCGAACCAGTGCTTTGCTAGTAAAATTGCATGATTTGCAGACGATTTTGAGTACTCCAAAATCAGTTTGATGAGTTAGCCTGAATATAGTCCTAACTTGGTACGGAATGACTTCTTCTTCTTCCTGTGCGTTAAAAATGAACTAAACTATCCGTTGGCCTGATTTCAGCACCTGAAGAGGATGTATATTTTGGAGGTACCTCAGTAAAAGTGACAAAAGGCCTTTGAGAATTGGACCAAACGCTTTATAGATCAACGTTTATAGATGTTCATGGAGAATATTTTGAATAACAATAAACCAATTTTCGTTGCCTAGAATTGGTTTTTGTTCTATAATCCCTAATTATATAAGGTAAGCTACGTGGAGAGTTAATACACGATTGAAGAAGAAGAACAAGGCAATACTTCGGGGATGGATTTTACTGGTATATGTATGTTCCGAGTGAAACATTACATGAATTGATGCACGTAAATACCAAAACTTTTCCTCACTCCTCCATCCGATCATCTCTGAAGGTGCTGAGGTCACATTATGCATAAATGCCAGCATTCCAACATATCCGCGCATACTCGTGCCTGAGTTTCTAATGCTTCTCTAAACGTCTCTAAACGCGAATCTAAGTACTCGCACATACAAACATACATATGTATGTACATATGTACTTACAATACGGACCCATAAATGTAGATAAAATATATTCGAAATGAATTTGTGTGACATTCTTGCATATGCCTCCACACTCACCTAAGTATATGGCTACCAATCTCGAGACTGGGCCCTTTTCCAGCCACAATCGCTACACGCCGCACGCTGAATTCTAATGAACGGCGATAAATTTCCCGGTAGCGATCACGCGAACGCATCCAATAACTACAAAGAATCACAATAATCAAAGACTTTCGAGACGCTGAAGCCGTTGGCTGGCTGATGGATGTCCGCGCCACGCATTGTAGGTGAGCGACTGACGCGCTCACTAATGCAGGAGGGGCGGGCGCTGCGAAGGCGCGCACAAACGGCTGGTTTATCGAGAAAAGTTATCAAAGATCGATCGGCAATGGAATTCACAAGTGGCAAGTGGCAGAGAAAAGCGCAGCGGCGGACTCAAACTCTGTGGCTGATGAAGGAGAGGCAAACGCAGCGCCTGAAGTGGCAGTCGAAGATGCGGTCGGAAGGCGATCAAGCGGCGGTAGTGAAATGCTAAAGAAATGCTGCTGCACGTTGACCAAGTTGCTGGTGTTGAATAACAATTCGCGCAACGGCAATAAAAATCAACAACAACAACATTGTTGCATACATACATACAAACATAAAGACTCGTATATGTAATAAATTCAATCATCTTGCCGCGCCGCCTCCTCAGAAACACACAGAAAAGAAGAAGAAGCAGAGACGACGCGCATGCGCGGAAAAGTCCAACGCAGCCATCTTCTATCTGCGCTCAAGCAACAAAGACGCGACTCCAACGCAACTGTGGCACCAACACAAGAACGCTCTTCCATGCTTCAAGAATTTGCTTGCCGCAGACGCATTTGTCCACTCGACTGACTGATTTCGTATGGAGGAGATGTCGTCGATTCCGAACCATTCAATGTTTTGTACTCGTGTGTGCGTTTTTAACTGTATATGTATGTATATATATTTGTTTGTATGTGTGCGTCTTGTCTTTGTTTGGCGTTTGCGCATTTCAATTGTTCTTGCTTGACTTTGGTGTGGAGAATGGCTTGAAAAGCGGCAGAGATGACGAAAGAACTCGGTGCTTTATCTTCGAAGGAAACGGTAAATAAAAACATTATTCTTTTATATGAGTGTATTAAAATATTATTACCACATATATTTGTGCAAAAAATATTGCTTCCCTAATACTTCTTCGTCAAGTGTGTGCAAATATTTCCATAAAGTGCAAGAAATCTCAATAAAGCTTAATCAAAAAATAAAATTAAGTTCGGAATTTATTTAAACCGAAAAAGTTTATTGCAGCACATTTTTCTTCTTCTTGACTAACGCTGTTTCTTTCTTTTCATTGATATCTTTCTATAACACCCAAGTTACTTTGGTCGCGTCCAGAAAATACTCTAGTCGTCTCACCGCCATGCAAGTTAAAATGAGGATATAATCTTCTCCAATTGGTATCACCAACAAAGAAGTCACCTTCTTCACCACCTATCGGGAATAAGTACTGAAGAAATTGTAGACTCTGCATCTATTTTATGACATATCTTAATCAGATCAGCGTTTGAAGAAAAAAAAAAAGTTTTGTAACTTTTATCGAAGATGGAGCCTTGTGTAAAAGTTCACGCAAGTGAGGAAAGTTCTCTGAGCGCCATTTACTTGGGAGTGACTAGAAACGACTATTTTATATGTGGATCAAGCAGCTCACGAGTTCCGTTCTTAGACCAAGTATCCTCTGGGTAGCCAAAAACATCTACATCTAAAGTGAAAAGGCGAATTACCACTCTCCAGGGTTTTGCGTTAGACTTGAGAGCCGCCACATAAAAACAGACCTCAATGAAAAGTAGAGGAATTTTTATTGTAGTCCTTAGATATTTTCGACTTCCACTAAGGTTTATATACCTCTTTCATTGTTTTTATCTTCATTGATATTTTTATATTTATTGATATCCTATATTACATCCTCATAAATTTACACATACAGATTGAAATCTAAAGATGCTAACATTAATTATCTTTGATCTTCAAAGACCCTTACCGAAGTCAAGAATACTAAATCTCAATAACCTGTCT